CTTAACCTTATTCTCTCTTCCACACATTAAGTGTGATGTATGAGTCAATGTTTAGTGCCTGAAAAGAAATCTGACCATGGGAAATCCACACATGCTTGTATCCTGGATGTGCATAATACATGTACAGCAGGCACTGTGGTAAACAGTCTATACAGGCTTATCATTTAACCTGCACAAAATCCTCACAAGATTGGAACTACTATTCTTTATGTTTTTTAAAGATGAGATCCAGAGAGGTTAATTAATTTACTCAAGGCTGCCCAGCTAGGAGGTGGCAGAGCAGGGGCTCCATCCCAGGTCTTGTTGCCTCCAGCATCCTTCATCTCACCTTTCTCTCAGTTCTGTCAGGATTTGCCTGACATTTCTGGAGGTAAGTCCCCTCCTTTCCAATTTAGGAAAAAAAACATCAAAGGTAGTTACTTACCACCTGACACAGCCTGCTCACTACTCTCACATTCCCTCCATTTACATAAGCTACTCAGGAAATTAGAGCAAATCCTATTTTTAGACACTGTGGTTCAAATGACAGTGATGTATGGGTTAGTGACGCGTCTTATGAATGTAGCTGGGAGGTGTTACTTGATCTTATGCTCGGAAAGTCTCTTACATCACCCTGTTTTGATCTCTATAATTTATTTCAAAGATCGCTTTGTTTCTTCTCTCTCCTCTGTGAGTCTTGCGATAGGCTTTGGCCAGAAACAATAAAATGAGAGCTGAAATAGAAGGCACAGAGAGGGGATGAGGCTCCTCTCAGAAATCTGCAACACAAATGATGCCTTGGATTAGCAGAGACAGAGCAAGCCCTCGCCAAAATTAAGAGTTTGTCCAATGGTTGGATCAAGAGGAATCTGACTTCATCCTTTCCTGCCAAAATGACTGTGTATGTGTTTTAGACAAAAATGCTACAATTTCACTCTTTACTTTTTACAGCTAACCACAATTTCTTAGCTTCAAAGGGCAGCAAAGAGCTAAGCAATGTTTGTGGGGAGCTCTGGGGAGCCCCAAGACTTAGTCAAGGAAAGAAAAAAGAACAGAAGAAGAGAGAGGGAGATGATGGGAAGTGAAGGGAACAAATGCAGAGTTCTTGATGTGTGCTAGGAACACCTATCTCCTTTAATCAATTTCGTTCTGTTTTTCAACACTGGAAAGGACATTTATTCTCATTTTACAGATTAGGCAACCAAGGCCAGAGAAATCAAGTGACTTAGCCCAGGACACACAGCTGGTAACTATGAGATTAGGATGGCTAGATCGAACAAATATAATTACAGAACACACAGTTAAATTTGAATTCCATACGAACAATGAGAAAAAAATTTGTATAAGTATGCCCCATGTGAAATTATAGACTTACACTAAAAATTTAACTAAACGTTCTTATTACTTTTACCTGGCAACCCTCGATGAGGTTCACACTCAGTTCTTTTAGCTATTTCTCAGGATTCCCTTTACTATGGGACAGATAAAATACTTTAGAATATGATTTGTGATTATCGCCAACCCATAGTGCTTGAGTGCAGGCCCCATGCTTTGCACCTGTTATTTCACTTGAGGCCCTTTCCTCCTCACATAAACCTGTCATGTAGGTACTACTATTTTCCCATTTTACGGATGAGGAAACTGAGGCTCAGTGAGTTGAAATAGCCTGACCATGGTCACACAGCCAGAAATTAGCAGAACTCAGGTTTAAACCCAGCTCCCTTTTGCTCAAGACTTGTCACTTAAAAAAACAGCTTTTTCAAAAGTTAAGATTTCACGCATGTACAGAAAAGTGCTCGATACGCAAATGCAGGGTTCTATGACTTATACCTATGTAGCTGCCAACACTATCAAGAAAGAAAAGATATCCAGTATGCCAGAAACCTGTGTCTTTCCTCCCAATTGCCACTCTCATCCTCCTCAGAGACACCACCATTCTGGCTTCTAACATTATCGTTGAGTTTTGCCTGCTTTCGAACACTCTGTAAGTGAAAACATACAGTGAGTACTCTTTGGTGTCTGGTTTTTATCAGTCAGCACTATGCTTCTTGTATTCATCTCTGTGATTGTGTATGCTAGAGACTGGCCATTTTCTTTGCTGTATAGTACTCCATATGAATATATACAGTTGGCTCATACTATTGTTGGCAAACATTTCAGTTGTTTGGGGTTATTTCAAAATTTACTACTATAAGCCACAGAAATTGCTGCTGTGAACATTATTGTACATGCCTTTTGATGGTTATAAGTATTCATTTCTGTGGAATGTCTTCCTAGGAGTGGAAGTTTTGGCCATAGGGACGGTGCCTTTAGTAGATAATGTTACGCAGTTTTCTAAAGCATGTATCTGTTCCAGTTTACACTCCTGCCAGCAACATATTCAATTTATAGTTACTACACATTCTCACTAGCACTTGGGATTGTCAGTCTTTGTAATTTTAGTGTAGTCACATCTCCTCGAAGTTTTAATGGGCATGTTTCATATTTCTGATTAGATTGAGTATCTTTTAATGAATTTATTGGCTGTTTGAACATCCTCTTTTGTAAAATGTTTGTCCCAGTTTCTTGACATTTTTTTGGATTGTCTGCCTTTTACTTATTGATTTATAGAAGTTCTTTGTAAATTCTTGATAGGCGCCCCTATTTAGTTATGCATGTTGAAAACATCTATTTTCTATGGTTTGATTTTTTACTCTCTTCTTAATGGTGTCTCTTTAATAAAGAGAAGTTTTTCCGATTGTGATATAATGAAATATATCAGTGTTTTTCTTTATGGAGTGCTTTTTGCTTTGTTTAAGAAATCTTTTTTTTTATCCCAAGATTATGATTGAATTCTCTGGAAGCTTCTAGAATGTTCTGCTTTATACATTTAGATGTATGACCAAACTGGGATTGATTTGTGTATATGATGTTAGGTAGAGAGATAGGAAAACTTCATATTATAAAGATGGCAAGTGTCCTCAAATTGACCTGTAGACTCAATGCCACCCTAATTGAAACCTAATAGGTCTTTTATTGTTGTTGAATGTGGGACTTGATAAACTGATTCTAAAATTTATACGCAAATTCAAAAGGCCAAGAATAATCTTGCAGGGGGAAAAAAAGGAATGTATTTTGCTGATACCAAGACTATTATAAAGCTGTAGTAATTGAGACCATGTGATAAAGATGACAAAATATAGCACAAAGATAAGTAAACTGACCAATGAAACTGAATAAACATCCCTGACCTGGCCCCTCCACACACAGAGACATGTGCTTTGTGACAAAAGTGGCCTTACAGAGCAGTGAAGGAAAGACAGTTCTTTCAATAAATTGTCATGTGTCAATTGGACATCCATATAAGGAAAAGCAAATTTGTCTCCAGAGCTCCCACTTTTAATCACTACAAGATGCTATGATGCTCTGTTCTTTTATGTTTTTATGATGATGACAGTGATGATTATAACATCACCATTATATTCTTACAGCCTTTGCCACTCTCAGGGTGCTTTCCAATCATTTCCCCAACAACTCTATGAAGCAGGCAGGGAAGACATTATCTGTCCTCTCATGGATGATGAAGCAGAGCCTGGAAAGGGTGAGTGACCAACCCAAGGACACTCAAGCTTCACCTGTTTGATTCCAAGCCTTGGGCTCTTTCTGTTTCATGGGGAGCCCAGTTCCCATTCCTATGAGCGATTAGGGAGATTCTCTTTGTTCCAACAGCTTTTACATATAGGTATAAAAAGACTACCAGAAACTACGTCAAGATGTAAATAACCATTATCTCTGGGAAGTGGGAATAGGGTTGGTATGTTTTTCTTCGTACTTTTCAGTGTTTTCTGAATTATCTACATTAGACAAAAATTAGTAGAGAAACAATATGCTTTAATAAAATAAATGTAGATAACCAATTCTTATCGCTAGTTTCAACAAAGAATAGTCTGCTCATGGCCACTGTAGAGCCCCTCCTTGAGTCCCAAGCTTAACAGATACTGGTTTTGAAGTCAGAAAATCCAGGGTTCAAATCTCAGCTCTGCTACTTTCTAGTTGTACCAACCGAGAGTGAGCCTCCTAACCTCTCCCGGCTTCAGTTCTCCCACCTGAGAAATGGAGATGGAACTAGCTGCTTCCTGGGTTATTTAGATGACTTAATGAGCTAATGTATTAAAGATTAGAAGACCAGGTGTCTGGCACTTAGGAGGCTCTCGGTCAATGGTGGCTCTTGTCACATGCCCCATCAGAAGATGTGCTCCTCTCCCGGGGATTCACTGTTGATCCTTTGAAGGTGAGCGTTATCAATCATTATCTATTGTTCTCACTTCACGGATGATGATACAGAGGTTCAGAAGGGGTGCTGAGACATGCCCAAGGTCACAGAGCTGGAAGAATCTTCTGAAACAGGCTGGGAGAGGGGTAGGTAATCAGCCAGGGGCCACACAGCTTAAACCTACTGCCTGTTAAAACAACAAACTAAATACAAAACAAACAAACAAACAATCAAACTGCCCTTTATTTGGTATATACTATTTGGAAGGCACCCATTAAGCATCTTGAACGTCAGCAGGAGCAGTAGCAACAGCGGCAGTGAATACTCTATTTGTTGAGTGCTTATTCAATGCCAGGCAGCTTGGTACAGTTAATTCGCCAAATGATCTTAGGACGTGGGTCTCTCCAACCCATTCTCCAGTCGAGGAAACTGAGGCTGGGAGGCTGAGGCCCTCGCCCAAGCTCCGCGGCAGGCCTGGCACCGGATCTGCCCAGCTTCCGGGGAGGCTGAGGGAGGGCCAGGTGGCATGCAAGGAGTTAAGCGGTAGGCAGTGCTGTGCCTCCGTGCGAGGAGCGCGCCGGGCTGAGGCGCTGCTGGCGGCGGCGGCAGCAGCAGCGGCAGCGGCGCGCGGAGCTCGAGCTGGAGACGTAAAGTCCGGGGAAGAGAGGAACGAGGCAGCGAGGAGGCAGCGAGCGAGACGCGAGGCGGCCGAAGCCCGCGCCCAGCTGCAGCCCGCGCCCCGCGCGCGCGCCGGGCCCGGGCACCCCAGGGGCGGGTGTGTGCGCGGGGCCTCGCCGTGGCGCGGGGTCCCCGCAGTGCCGCCCGCCCGCCAGCCCGCCGGAGCGCCAGGCTCGCAAGAGCCCGGCTTTCACTTCCTCTCGCCTCCGCCCGCCTCTCCGGCTCGCCGGCTGGCGTCGCCACCTTCTCCTCGTCCCCGGCCACTGCTGTCGTCGCTGCTGCAATCCAGGACGCACACTTCCACTTTCTCGCTGGAGGCACGGAGGGTCCCCCTTGCACAAGACCGAGAGAAATAGCCCCGGGGCCCGGCCGAAGGCGCCTTGGTGGCGAGTAAGGAAATCCAGACTCCGCTTTCCTTGATGCCACTGCAGCAGCTGGCAGCTGGGACGGCGCCCACAGAGCGGGCGCGCTAAGCGGGACGCGGGAGTCGCAGAGAGACCCCGGGCTTCTGCTGAGCTCCGCTGGCAGAGTTGGCAAGTGGCTGAGACCCCTCAGGTAAGGGCTGAGGGGCCTGCGTGGGTAAGAGGGTTCCATAAGAGAACAGGGTGCGGAGCCGCTGCAAAACGATTCCTGCCCCGCTTCCAAGCTTCCAGGTCCAGCGGCTTTTCCGCAGGCTGGAGGTTCGGCGCCCAGTCAGGTGAGTAAAGAACCCAGAGAGGTGACAGCCCAGCTCTGGGTAAATGACAAACTTTCCTCTGGCAGAGGGTGGGACATTCTGGCTCACCCAGGAGTCCTTCCCGCTGGGACCCCAAAGGCAGGCACTCGAGGGCTTCTCAGGCTGAGCTGGGCCAGGGAAAAGGCAATGGATCCCTTTAATTTGATTCATAAATCACCCGCTTCTTGGCCAGTTCAGAGTTCTGAGGTAGAAGGAGCTGGTCATATTTTCAAGTTGGCCTTACAAGGTGTTTGTTGGGCATGATACTCATAAATGAGGCTACTTGTTATCTGGAGCCAGCATCCAGGGCTGCCCAGGAGATGGGCTTTGTGTCCAGTGCTCTGCAGGTTTGCTTGTGTCGTTCTGGTTGGGGGTGTGTATGTGTGCGTGTGTGTGTGTAGGGAGACAACTGGGGCCAGGAGGACTCACTGAGCCAGATCGCCTCCATCCAAGTCCTTCCAGCAGCCTCAAGTGTCATCACAGGAGAGGACTCATCTCTTTGGCAGAGACACTAGGAGAGGCAGGATTACCTCCTGTTCCTTGCAGCTCCTTAAATGAGCAAAAGATTTGGGAGAAGTTTCCTGCGCCGCTCAACGAGACCATTCTGATTGTAGCTTAGGGAGGTACAAACTTTTTGCAGAAAAGGGGCTGGAATGGACAGTTGGATAGGGGCTCCTGGCATTCTCATCCTAGCTCTGAGGATGTGGGTGGTCCCCCTACACTCCAGGCCCCTAGAGGCTCTGCCCAGCCCAGCACACAGCTCATGAATTTGGCCAGATTTTTCATCCTAATGAAAAGCTTGATTCAGAGGCTACCTGGTCTCCAAGGATCATTTTGGAACCACTCATGTGGTTACAGCCCCCTAAATGGCATTGTGATTCCTCACTGGGGTTCCAGCCTAGGGCCAGGGTCATCTCGAGGGACGGGCTGGTCAGCAAGACAGGCAGTAGAGGTGCTTCTGGCCATGACCCAAAGGTGGGACATATTCCCCTGGCCCTGTAATTGCCTGCTTGGGCTGGGCAGCTACCTCTGGAGAATAGCACTGCTGTGTTGTTCTTGGACAGTACTTGAAGTATGAGGGGGGAGTCTGAGGACTTCCACCCCTTGCTTCAGGTTCTGACCTGGGGCCAGGCTGGGAGCCACTTCTCTAGACTGCTGAGACCTCGGTATTCCTCCAGCGGGTCAGAGTCTGGTTCTTGATGCCCTGGGGAAACCCTATCTCTGGGTCAGGAGACTGAACTTCAAGCCTGCCTTCGATTTGCTGCGTGACTTTGGGCAAATCACTAGACCTCTCTGGGCCCTAGTCGCTGCTTCTGCAAGATGAAGGGATTTCATGTATCCTCAGAGGTCCCAGTTTGAACATTCTGTGTCCTTGAGCAATTATCATTTTAGATTTTCAAAACCCTAAAAGGTGATGTAATTTAGTGTTTAAGAGTCCTCGGACTCAGACCATTGGAGTTTGACCAGTCACTTCACCCTCCAAACCTCCATCTCTCCACTGTAAAGTGGGTGAGTTCATAGTTCGGACTTTAGAAGGCTATTGGAAGGACTAACTGAGGTGGTGCCCGGAAAGCGCTAAGTGTATCTAGTATAGACTGGAGCTCCACAGACACAGCAGCAGGACTGTCTGTTTTGGGGTCTTATGCATGAGTGTCTGGCTGCTGTTTTCCCCAGGGAGGCTGGCCCTGTCCCACCTGAGCACCAGGTGATCCTCGGCTAGGGGGCAGGGCCCTTGTTCCCTCCAATCCCCTGGCACCTGCAGTCCCCGCCTCCTCGCTGCTGCCTCATAAAAGCACTACTGGACCAGCAGCTCCTAGTGGGGAGCCCAGGGCGGTCTGGGAGGACTGGAGGAATCCAGCTGCTGTGTCGCCATGACAACAGGAGGTGGAGGTAAGCTGTCTCCATGGCTTCAACTTTGCGGCTGTGCAGGGACCCAGGACAGAGAAGTTCAGTGTGTCTGGGTGTTAGGCCCTCAGTCTACTGAGGCTGTCTGAGCAGAGGTTGCTGACCCCTGCAGGAACAGCCACGTGGGGAAAAATGCTTGAGTGGGGTGGTGGTGGGGTGTGTTGCTGACGTTGTGGGAAAAGGCAGTGGCGTGATCAGTCTTATTTCTTTCTGAGTGGTTCTGATGCTTGGGACATCTGTGTCCCTCCCCAGACTAGGGTTCCCCAGGGTCCATGGTGAAATTGCCATGGGGAAGGCAGACCTCATCTCTGCTGACATAGAGTGACTTAATGGGCTTGTAGTAGGGACTGGGTCAGGAGCGGTTCTGCCATGTGCTAGTCTGTGGGCTTGACTGGAAAATGGACAGTTTGATTTCCTAGTGGAGTAGGACATGGGTGTGTGTGTAGACATGTGTGTAAATGTGTACATTCTCATGCAGGTTTGGGCATATGTGCTCACGTGACTGTGATTGACATAAAAACCTTAAGTGTGTGTGCACACGTGTGAGAATAGTGTCAATATGAGTCTATACTTGTGAAATCGCATGTCCATGGATTTATGAATGTGTGTGCCTGTGCATGCCCACAGAAGAACGCGTGCCTGTGTGTCAGTGCAAGTGTGGGGGCGCGTATGCACTTGTGAGTGTTGAGCAATTATGTGTGTGTGAGTTGGGTGTATCTCTATGGCCAGACAGTAGCATGGCTGCACGGCTGCACACGTGTGCTGTGGGGGTCTGTGCAGTGATACCTATGTTTGAGAAGTTGTGTAGTTCTGCTTGGTGCATGCTTTGGTAGCTGTCTGTGCCGTCTGCATGTGTTTCTGTGGGCATTTGTGCATGTACAAGTGTGTACAATGATGATGTGAGTGTGAACTCATAGTATGCACTTACAGGCATATCTGTCTACATGGTTTTCAATACTTTTTTGTGTGTCTCTATGTGCATATGTATGTATAGTATTGCATACACTCTCTCTGTGTATATGTGTGTCTGTCATGGTATAACCACTGTGAGTGTCTCTATGAATATGTGTGACTTTCTGGGCGTATGTATCTGTGAGTGTCAGAGGGTACATTAGATTGCGTTGCTCTGATTGTGTGCTTCTGTGGGTGTGTATTGCAGTGTAAACTTTTTGTGCATCTGTGTACACATATTTCTGAGTGTATGTGTCTGTGTGTAGGACTGCATGCTTGGTTGTATCTTTGCGTATGTGTGTTTACTCGTGTTAGTCTCTGGGTGTGTTGACTGCAGTGTACATTTGAGTGTGTCTCTGTGTGCTTATGAGTGTCTCTGAATGTATGTTTTGGGATGTTGCAGTGTGACGTGTACATGTTGCCTGTGTATGAGTGAGCTTCTGAGTGTGTGTACCTGGGGTGTTATGCTGCATTTTCTTGCATGTCTCTGGGTGTACATTGTATGAGCACATTTGCCCATCTGTGGGGCTGTGCCACTTTCACGCAAGTCTCATGTGTATGTGTGTATTTCCTTGATGCGCATCTCTGCGAGTGTGCCTGAGTGTCCACGGGGTGCAAAGGTGTGTGTGTGCAGTGTAAACACAGCTGAGAGCGTCCACAGAAAATATCTCTGAACCTTTAGAACTACGCTTCTGCCTGCTCTTCAGGTCTGAACTATGTTTGTGCTATGCACCCGAAGTGTTGCTTCAGTGATTGGTGCCGGCTCTGAGCAGCGTGTCAGGATGTTGCGTGTTCGTTTTTCCTTGTGTTAGCTCCAAAGTCCGTATATTACCCTGCCTTTGGCTCCCTTGGCCCCCACAACAGCCCAGGTGTCTCTCACCAGAAGCCTGAACTTTAGGACAGTTGCCGAAGAAACTCACAGATGTTAGGAGTGCAGGTAGAATTTTAGGTAGAAGTTCTGGAAATCAGCAGCCTAGGATGCACGGAACATCTCGACCGCAGTGTTTCTAATTAGAAGCAACTTGTTTTCCTTAAATAAACAAATCAAGTGAGAAAAGAAATTGCCAGAGATTAACGACTCCCCAGAGCAGGTCCAGATGTCGCAAAGATGGGGATGGGGTCCCCAGGGACTACACATGTGACTGCTAAGGATCTCTTCCAGATTTTGACCAAGAGCTGATGAGGCAGGGGCTGAAGAGGAAGCTGATGACGGCAGGACAGTGCGAGGCCCTAGTGTAAGATTTGGTTTGCACAGGCGTTACTGGCCCCCGTTCCTCCTTCTTCCCTGTGTCCATGCTGTCAGCCACATGACTTCGCCCTTCTCCCCTCTCAAGGGGCTGCCAGGATTTCTACTCCTGCTCCCTCACTTTGGGTTTGGCCATGTGACCAGCTTTGGCCATGAGGGTGAGGTGGAAGGGACAGTGTGTCCGTTTCAAGCTTAGGCCTCAGGGGGCCTTGCATGTTTCTGCAGAGGCTGGGAGAAGAACTCCCTCAAGGTAGCTACTGCTCCCTCAGCCTGGCCCCAGAATGAACACATGTCCAGCCACCCTGAGCCCAAACCTCAGTGAGCCTGGTTCTGCCATGCTCCAGCTGGCCACGAACAGGTTAGCTAAATAAATGCCTCTTATTGTGTGTCACAGGGGTTTGGTGGTTGTTTGTATGCCCCATTATTGTAGTTACAGCTAACCAAGGTCGTTACCAGCAGTCCGGGTATCCTTCTCCTGTTTGACCCCTGATAGTCGTTCAGAACTGCATAATGAACACCCATACTTCTCACCATGGGTATCTCATTACTACCTTGCCTTCTGCGCATCCCAACATTAGCAGTAATAATAATAAATAATAATAATAATAATAGGCAATAATAGATAGTGTTTATGGAGTGTTTACCAGATACTACACCCCATGCCAAAGAGAGAGAGAGAATCTATTACAACCCTTTGAGGTAGTTTCTATCATGATCTTTTGTTATAACCTGTGAGAC